TTCTCATACAAAAATTTATACACACATTGTTATGTGACCCTAGTTGCTCTCTCTATAATCTGAAAGCACACTCCTTTCCACCCTGAATTTCCCACGTCCATTTAACCAGCTCCTACCCCTTTCTGCCTTCTCATCTTGCCTCTGGACAGGAGCTGCCCACTTAGTGTCATGCATCTACTTGAACCAAGAAGCGCACTCTTCACGAGAATCATTTTATGTCTTATAGTCCACTCTAACCCTTGTCTGAAGAGTTGGCTTTCGGAATGGTTTTAGTTCTGGGTTAACAGAGAGTCTGGGGTCCATGTCTTCCGGGATCCCTCCAGTCTCAGTCAAACCATTAAGTCTGGTCTTTTTACTAGAATTTGAGTTCTGCCTCCCACTTTTCACCTGCTTTGTCAAGGACTCTCTGCTGTGTTCCCTGTCAGGGTGGTCATTGGTGGTAGCCGAGCACCATTTAGTTCTTCTGGTCTCAGGCTGATGGAGTGAGTCTCTGGTTTATGAGGCCCTTTCTATCTCTTGGGCTTATAGTTTCCTTGTGTCTTTATTGTTCTTTATTCTCCTTTGCTCCAGTTGGGTTGGGACCAATTGATGCATCTTAGATGGCCGCTCCCTAGCTTTTAAGACCTCAGACAACACTCACAAAAGTAGGATGCAGAACATTTTCTTAACAATCTTTGTTATGCCAACTGACCTAGATGTCCCCTGATACCATGGTCCCCAGACCCCCTCCCCTGCTACTCTGTCCCTTGAAATGTGTGGTTGTATTCAGGAAACTTCTTAGGTTTTGGTTTAGTCCAGTTGTGCTGACTTCCCCTGTAATGTGTGTTGTCCTTCCCTTCACCTAAGATACTTCTTATCTACTCCCCACCCTCGTATCCATTAAAGGATGATTTCTTCGGTGTTTAAAACTTTTTCTTGAGTTCTTATAATAGTGGTCTCATAAATATTTGTCCTTTCACAACTGGCTAACTTCACTCAGCATAATGTCTTCCAGATGCATCCATGTTATGAGATGTTTTGGGGATTCATCGTTGTTCTTTATTGTTGCGTAGTATTCCATTGTGTGAATATACCATAACTTGTTTATCCATTCGTCCATTGATAGGCATCTAGGTTGTTTCCATCTTTTTGCTACTGTGAACAGTGCTGTAATGAACATGGGTGTGCATATATCTATTCATGTGATGGCTCTTATTTCTTTTAGATATAGTTCAAGGAGTGGGATTGCAAGATCGTATGGTACTTCTATTTCTAGCTTTTGTTTTTTAATTGTACTTCAGATGAAAATTTAAAGAACAGATAGTTTCTCATTAAACGGTTAGTACATATATTGTTTTATGACAATTGTTAACAATCCTACAACATGTCAACACTGTCCCTTCTCAACCTTGGGTTCCCTATTACCTGGTTTCCTGTCCCCTCCTGCCTTCTAGTCCTTGTGCCTGGACTATTGTGCCCCATTAGTCTCGTTTTGTTTTATAGGCCTGTCTAATCTTTGGCTGAATGGTGAACCTTAACCTTGGGAGTGACTTCATTACTGAGCCAAAAGGGTGGCCGGAGGCCATACTCTCGGGGTTTCTCCAGTCTCTGTCAGGCCAGTAAGTCATGTCTTTTTTTGTGAGTTAGAATTTTGTTCTACATTTTTTTCCACCTCTGTTTGGGAACCTCTGTTGTGATCCCAGTCAGAGCAGTCAGTGGTGGTAGCTGGGCACCATCTAGTTGTACTGGACTCAGTATGGTGGAGTCCATGGTAGTTGTGGTCCATTAGTCCTTTGGATTAACCTTTCCCTTGTATCTTATTTTCTTCATTCTCCCTTGCTCCCAAAGGAGTGAGACCAGTGGAGTATCTTAGTTGGCTGCTCACAGGCTTTTAAGACCCCAGACGCTACTCACCAAGGTAGAATGTAGAACATTTTCTTTATAAACGATGTTATGCCAATTGAGCGAGATGTTTCCTAGACCATGGTCCGCACAGCCCTCTGCCCAGCAAGTCAGTCCCTCAGGGAGTTTGGATGTGTCTATGGATCTTCCATGACCTTTTTTTTGTACAAGTTGTGCTGGATTCCCCAGTATCGAGTAGTGTCTTACCGTTCACCCAAGTTACCAATTATCTATTGTCTGTTTAGTATTTCACCCCTCCGAACCCTCCCATCCCTCATAAACAACAAAGATTGTTTCTTTTTGTGTGTAAACTTTTTTGTGAGTTTTTACAGTAGAGGTCTCATGCAATATTTGT